GATGAAGAAAATGTGGCTGCTTTCTTTTATTCGAATAAAAAAAAAACTTTCATTCGATTGATCAAATTTTTTTTTGCTGTTGTGGCTTTTTCATTTCAAAACATTTCATTTGAGAGATGCTTGACACTTTGCTTCCAACCCATCTACATCTACAATTTCTATGTATGGCTTACATGATGTCGTATGCAACTGTGGGTGCTTAGCATTACTTTTTTTTGTTGTCTAGTTTTATTTTTCATCCCATCAGAATGTCAAAATTTACGTACACATTTCAGTTTAATTGAAAATGGCAACAAACTATACACATCCATCACTCAAAAGTGCTGGAGATGTAAGTGATGAGGGAAGAAGCAAAGAAAAATCAGTCAAACTAGCTTTGGGAGTTGTTCATGGGTTACGTCTTGGTTGGGTTATTTATTTTGTTTTCTTAAGGATGAGGGGGGGGGGGGGGGGAGGTATGGTTCAAAAAATCAGCAATCTGTAGAGATCTTCCTAAGATCAATCTCTATTGAGTTTTTTGACGACTTAATTGATGCATAGCCACATACTTGAGTACATCCCTTGAAAAAATCCTAAAGTCCACCCTAGAGGACATCCGACTTAAGGGTCAAATTAAGGTTCAAGTAACAAATTCCATTATTCAATTCAATTCATCACAAACTCCATTAAACTAAGTTTCCCAACTTTATGACCAACCTTTTTTATTCCTCTATAATTCCATAAAATTTTCCAATCAGTAAAAAAAGCCACAAGTCACACACAGTAAGGGGGAAATAGAAAGATGAGAGAGACAAACTTTTATTTCGTTTATTTATTTTTATTTCTGAAATGTTCCGCCCTAGAAGACACAGCATAGCAGTGCACTAGCAATTCTAAAAATATACAATTTTCAGGACATGAAAGGGACGGAAAAGAAGATTGATTTGTTGCTTCTTTATGCATAAATTGCAATTTTTACTGCTGATTTTTATATAGTTTTTAGCGCATTTTTGAAAACTTGTTTTCGAAAAGGAAGCTTAATAATGCACTTTGTTCGTTCGTTCGTTCGTTCGGGCAAGCATAAAAACTTTGCAACCAGACATCGTAGAGAGCTCGGATTTGTTTTATTAGCTCCGTTACTATTGTTTATTGTCCGATCGAACAGTTAAAAGTCTTCAAGCAGTGTATTTATGCTATAATTAATGAGTTTTTGTTTTGTTTTCAGTGTAACCTGCTCAAATTTTGTTTTACCTCTATAAATTCAAATTTACCTCTATAATTTCAAATTTTTTCTAGCCGTTGTAAAATTTCAAATTTTAAAAAACTGTTAAATGATAAACTTTTTCTATATGGAAATTCATTGCAGCAAATTATTAATTATAATCAAATACTGATCGCTTCGTCAAAAATGCGCTGAAGTCCCTCGATCAATAACACGAGGACTTTTGTAATTTTTTTTTCATTACGACAAGGTAGCCACAAATGTAAATGTACTGTAAGCGGAGACGTAAAAAGGAAGAAAAAAGAGAGAACTCGTCAAAGCAAATGACAGAGAATTATTGAAGCTTTATGCTTTATGGTTATGTCCATAAAATATTAAAATTATAGAAAAGTATTGCCAAATGGTCATTTATGATAAATAAGAGAAATAAGAATTATTAGAGGTAAAGGAACTGATGTGTAGAGAACAGAATGTGAATTTTTTATCTATCGAAAATCATTGAGCGGGAAGGAGAAGGCAAAGAGTGAGAAAGAGACAATTTTGTCATAAAATGTAAATAAATTTGCAACAATAACATGCTTCATATATGTACGTAATTCACATTCATACATAAAACAATAACAAATTCTTCATACTTCAAGCACGACATAGAAAATGATTAATGGTTTAACTGTCTAGTCATATACAAAGTAAAAACTTTTTTTTTCTCACTCTTCTACCCATCCTTATCATCTTATTATTTATTTGCCACCATTCATGATCATCGTCATCATCATCATGCACTTACTTCTTCTTACTGAGTGCTGTCTTCTTCTTCATGTGACTCTATATGCTTGTGTGTATAGAGAATTTGCCTTCTTTACCACACTCCCATCTCAAGTTGCCTTTTTTTATTCTTCTCAAGACAGCGAACCATTGCATACATATTATCATTTTGATGATGAAAGTTTTTCTCGCCTTTTTCTCGTCTCTCTAGCTTTTCTTTTTCTCGCTTTATTAAACTATTGTTGTGGTGAGTGTGATTATATAGTTGGTATTTCTTCTGGATGTCCGATAGAATTTAAATTTTAAGTTGGTTCTTGTGGATGATATTGTTTTGGATAATTGTGCATAGTTAAAAAGGTTTGGGGTCTAAAGTTGTTTTAAGAACATTTTTTGAAAACCTTTTCTCCGTTTTCAACTTGACTTGATGGCATCTCGTACCTTAGTAAAGACTCTCAATCACTACTGCAATTTATTGCTCATTTTCAAGAATTAAACAAAATGATGAACTTAGTAACATAGTATGACTTGAACCTATTAACTTAATGTGATGTGAACCTAGTATTATTATTGATTTGTCGACGTTACCGTCCGGAAGAATTCGTACTTATTGTTCACTTTTTGCATTGATTAGTGTCTTGAGCTTCCAATCTTAAATCTAGGATTCAGTTAAATTCAGGCTCTCGTATCAATCTTCTGTGGGCGTGACGTGATACATTTCAGGTCCGTTCTGACAATATTCGTGTATATCGTAATATCGTAGATCTCGTTTCTATTTCTACTTCTACACTTTAAGTTCCTGTTTCGTTCCTTAATCCATCGTTGCCCAATTTTGACTTAATCTCGTATATTAAGCAGTCGAAGCATCTAAACTTTTGAAAAAGAACAATTTTTAAAATCGCTGGATTCGAACCGACGACCTTCGAGTTACCATACCACATTTGAGTCAAGCGCTTTACCTTTTTGACCAGCAAGGCACTCAACTGCTAGTGACTTAGTGCGACGTGAACCTAGTAACTTAGTGACTTGAACCTAGTAACATAGTGTGACTTGAACCTAGCGAATTTTGACTATGCCGTAAACTTAGGAACTCTAATCAGGGTTGCAGCCAAGAATTTGAAGAGGGAGGAATAAAGATTTTATGTTTGGAAAAATTTTGGTGGTTGGAATTTTTTGGAATTATTTATAAAAATCATAGAAAAATGATGAACTTACTATTTACGTCCTCCTTGCATACACGTCTGTTTCTGATATGTCACAAACCTAGTAATTCTGATGAGTTGCGAACTTAGTAACTCTAGTATGTCAGCAAACCTAGGAGCTCAAGTTACCATCGAACCTAGGAACACTAGCACATGAAAACAGCAAGACAATCTTGCAGGTGTCATGTATGTTTGGCTGCCACGTTGACAACAATTCAACATTTGCAGTTCAAGATTATTTCTTCCCAAAATATCCAACAAAAATCATCAAGTTTGATTTCCCATAAAGAACGATCTTACACCTCATTCTCATACCTGCTTTGAATATAATTTGCTCAGGATGCCTTAATTTGTTACCTTGAGCAATTCGCCATTTTATGAAACTTTTTTGACACTATTTACTTGTTTTTGTCTTTCACAGTTCTCGCTCTTGTATGTAAGTATCACTTATGTAGATATATACATATTAAATATCTTCACAGCTAGTATGAGGAAACTTAAAGAGAAACTTTTTCCTCTCCAGCGAACTTGCGAGTGTATTTTAGTCCAAAAAAGGGAAAAAAAATTCTCTCATACGAATGTCATCATGATGAAGAATGCAATGTGAAATGTGAGTGGGAGAGGACAGCATTATGTGGGTGAAAATGGCAATGTTAGATGAAGGAAGAAGAGCATTGTTATAATGTAAGTACATAACGAGAAGCAATAAAGCATTTTTTGATAGACAAAAGGATTTGAAAAGTTGAAAATTACTTTTTATGGTTTCATTGTCGTCTGTTTCATCAGCTTACATACTTATAATGTACATTTTACTCATACCATATTGTGAATGTATAAATACATAAATACACTTGAGTATTACTTGTCCTGTGGCTGATTGTTGTGAAAAAATATTTTGTAAAGAAGACACAACGGCAATGACATGTAATGACAATGAAAGGCTTTTAAATATTCTTTTTATTACTACGTTTTTCTTAACTTGCTTTCTTGTTTGTTTGTTTGTTTGTTTGTTTGTTTGTTTGTTTGTTTGCAAAAAATTTCAAATCTTGCGATCAATTTTTCGACCACTTCTACTGCTCCAATCGAGCTCAAATTTTTAATGCACATGTATTCCCGGTGACAATACAATATTTTAACACTTTGGAAACACAAAAATGCTTAATTATAGTACAATTTATGTAAAACTTTTTTATATGGGAAAAAATCCAATGTCAATGATAAAAAATTTTGATTTGTATTAAATATTATACTTGTGATGCTCTAAAGTCGTTTATATGATTCATTATAGTTTAATTAATATTACTAATTATTAATTATACCATAAATTTGAGCAGCTAAAGATATTCTGGTAAGACAAAAAAATTGACATGTAATTTTTTCATGAATATTCGTAAGTGAAAATTTGAATTTTCAAAAAAACCGTTAAGCACAAGTCCGTTACGAATTAATGCAAAATAACTATTAATATACGATGTGCATTTAGCACACATAGTTTGAGCATAAATTTATGCTGTTTTAAATGTATTGCATTATTTATAACACTTCACCAACTTAATTAAATTGACTTTTCTTTTTATTAACGGTTTGACGTATTTTTGCATAACATATAAATGATATTCATTGAATTTAAATTTGAAAATCCGTTACATATGTGATTTGCATCTTTATGTTAAGAATCCACACGTTATGAAGTAGAAATGGTACAGATAAACACAAAATCTTTACGAGTGATTTTTAATGTACTTTACTAATGAATGCTTTAAAAAAATAAAATTTTATAAAACGAATGAAAAATTTTGAAAGTCGTTACTAATTTCCCATTGAAAACTGGTAATTTATAAACAGTTGAACGCAACGAAGTGAAGTTCAACACACCTGTAACCTATAAACCTACTGTAATCTATAAACAGTTGAACGTAACGAAGTGCAACGAAGTGAAGTTCAACACACCTGTAATCTATAAACCTACTGTAATCTATAAACAGTTGAACGTAACGAAGTGCAACGAAGTAAAGTTCAACACACTTGTAACCTATAAACCTACTGTAATCTATAAACAGTTGAACGTAACGAAGTGCAACGAAGTGAAGTTCAACACACCTGTAATCTATAAACCTACTGTAATCTATAAACAGTTGAACGTAACGAAGTGCAACGAAGTAAAGTTCAACACACTTGTAACCTATAAACCTACTGTAATCTATAAACAGTTGAACGTAACGAAGTGCAGCGAAGTGAAGTTCAACACACCTGTAACCTATAAACCTAATGTAATCTATAAACAGTTGAACGTAACGAAGTGCAACGAAGTGAAGTTCAACACACCTGTAACCTATAAACCTACTGTGATCTATAAACAGTTGAACGTAACGAAGTGCAACGAAGTGAAGTTCAACACACCTGTAACCTATAAACCTACTCTAATCTATAAACAGTTGAACGTAACGAAGTGCAACGAAGTGGAGTTCAACACACCTGTAACCTATGAACCTACTGTAATCTATAAACAGTTGAACGTAACGAAGTGCAACGAAGTGGAGTTCAACACACCTGTAACCTATGAACCTACTGTAATCTATAAACAGTTGAACGTAACGAAGTGCAACGAAGTGAAGTTCAACACACCTGTAATCTATAAACCTACTGTAATCTATAAACAGTTGAACGTAACGAAGTGCAACGAAGTGAAGTTCAACACACCTGTAACCTATAAACCTACTGTAATCTATAAACAGTTGAACGTAACGAAGTGCAGCGAAGTGAAGTTCAACACACCTGTAACCTATAAACCTAATGTAATCTATAAACAGTTGAACGTAACGAAGTGCAACGAAGTGAAGTTCAACACACCTGTAACCTATAAACCTACTGTGATCTATAAACAGTTGAACGTAACGAAGTGGAGTTCAACACACCTGTAACCTATAAACCCCCTATAATCTTTATTTCTCTATTTCATTAGAATAAGACTAAAAAGTAGAAAATAAAATACTTTATAAAAAAAAACTTTTTAAAAAACTACGTTTTTCGCGTAGACTAAAAAGTAGAAAATAACTTTTATTCTTGGTTGTAAAGAATTTGGTTTTAAATTTTCAGATTATATTTAATAAATTTTTATATCCTAGTCAATATTGTTCACAAAGTTTCGAATAAGTGCACTTTGATCTTATCGTATAACTCAACAACTTAAAAACGTGGGCGCATCATAAGAGGAGAAATAAGTTTATGTGAAATCAATACTTTATGATAAACTTAAATTAATGCGCCCACGTTTTTAAGTTGTTGAGTTATACGATAAGATCAAAGTGCACTTATTCGAAACTTTGTGAACAATATTGACTAGGATATAAAAATTTATTAAATATAATCTGAAAATTTAAAACCAAATTCTTTACAACCAAGAATAAAAGTTATTTTCTACTTTTTAGTCTACGCGAAAAACGTAGTTTTTTAAAAAGTTTTTTTTTATAAAGTATTTTTTCATGCTCGTTTCCAGTTCTTATTTTCATATTCTTGTATGAGCAATGATTTGCTTCTTCTTCTTCCTCCTTACGTCATGAATCTTATTTGCTCCTGCTTACAACTGCTTCATGTGTAAGGGAAGACACACTCACAAAAAAAAAAAAATCACAATCATGCATGTTGTGCTGTTGAGGGATTACAGTGAGCTTGTATGTGAATAAAACATTTCAGGTGATGCAATATTAAAAGCTTTCTCAGATTTTTTTTTTATTTCTGTGCCTTGCCTTTTGTTCTTTAACTCATTCACTCACTTCAGTCGTTTGAAATGTAAATGTTGAAATGATAAAATGTGTCAAATTGGAATCACATGAGATTTGAGTTCTTTTTTTTGTCTTTTGTTGAGAAATGTATGAAAAATTCAAAAAGTAAATTATGTGAGATAAAAACGGAAGAAGAGATTCACTCGCAAAATGAGATCGAGTAGAGTCTTTGGCATGTGTGATTTCAAATATTGATTGGAGATAATAATTCACAAAAAGTTTCTTGGGAAAGGATTTTTTGACTATTTCAATTTATTTAACGTTTAGGAACTTTAGCAGACTTTGTGGACGGCAAAATATCACAAGAAAGACCCAAGAATTCCTGGATTGGATGTGTTGAAAAGGATGCTAGAGTCCTTAAAATCCCAAACTAGTAGGAGGTTTCAAAGCACAGAGCAGACTTTAGACGTTCTTTAAGCGCGACAATGGACCCACTTGTGCCCTAGCCAAGGAACTAAGTTGATTAGGAATTTTAGAGCTTTAGAACAGTAGTGTCTAAACTTTTTTGATGCTATGGAACACTTGTTGGTAACTTTCTTACTTACTTTTCTGGTCGTACATATCAATTTTGATCCATGACCTCCCTTATTGGTAATCCATGACCAAAACCGCACACGTCATACGATTTGAGGGATTTATGAAATTTTTTCAGTCTAAAGTGTGAAAGTGAATTAATGAGCAGATTTTACATGATTTGCTAAAGTTGAAGATTTTTGAGCTACCCATAGTTCATTCCTTAAAAAAAATAAAAATTTGTAAGCTCTTTAAAGCAGGGGTGTTCAACATTTTTTGGGCCATGGCATAGTTGATGATAAACTTAACCAAAAACGCTCACAGTATACAATTCGTGAGATATCCTAAAGTTTTTCACAACACACTAGTTTAGATGGGGCTCGGCATTGTCATCCCTGCTTTAAATAATTGTTAGGAGGGGGTCTTAACCTTTGTCAGACTCGATTTTCATTAATAGCTAATTTGGGTGACTAAATCTGATTCAAATGTACATACTATCCTCAAAAAATGCTCAAATCCACCCATAACATTAAAAACAAGAAGAATCTTCTGTTAATCAGATTGTATTTTGAGCAATTGACTGAATTTTCTTGATTGTGAATTTTACATTTTCTTTTTCATTGTCATTAGCTTGACTATTATTCTATCAAGATTCGAATATTTTTCAGCATGTACAAATATTCTTTAGAACACAAGAAAATTGTGCAAAGAATGTATCAAAAAAGTTTGTGTATCAAAAACGAAGAGAACATTTTCCAACCCTCTCCAACAATCTCCAGCGACATCTATGAAAATTTTCAACAATTTTAAAAAAGCTTTTGCAAATTTTTAAAAAAATTCTCAACGACGTTTCTTAAAAGCTCTTAAAAAATATTTTTCACACAAAATTTTATTTTTTTTAAATTTCACATACATGCAAGCATACAAAAATAGGAATGATGTCTCGCAGGGCTTCACGGCTACGATTTTAAAAATAAATATCTGTTGAAAATAATTTAATTAAAATTGAAATAACCAATTATAGCTTATTTCATGTAAAAACATTCAAAAACAAAAGTTATAAAATGAAAAATATTTTATTGCTGCAAAAAAATTTTTCATGTCGGTTGAGTTGCGATTTGTCCATTTCTATAACAACGCAGCAAAGTATTTTTTCTACGTAGAGATGAACATAAAAAAAGCAGGTGAAGGATGAGAAAGAATAAAAAACAATCTTCTCATCCTCATCCGAGTGCTAGGCAACCTGTTGAAGAGAGAGAATAAAAAATATACAAATTTAGATAAAAATGTACACATGCAGCACATTGTATAAGGACAACAAGAAAAAAAATTTATTCATTTTAGCACTGATTCTGTTTCAATTCAACAATCTGATGTGAATTTTGATTGTTAGGAATCATAGGTGTATTAAAATTTATGTATGAGCTGGGTGGGTTGGAAACTGATGGAATTTTTTAATATGGAAAATTTTAATAACAAGATTGGCTTCATAGGCATGTAGGGGGGAATGGGAGGACAAACTATTCTTTCTTCATTTTGCTAAGGGGTCATTCAAGCCGAAGGTACTTCTCCTTCTCCTTCTCATGGTATCCCCTGATCCCGCTGAATACACCGTTGGTGACCGAACCTTGTGCCGGAAAATGTTCTTGAAAGAATAGATTAAAAGCCTATCAAACAAACTACCTCGCCTGTAGGGTGGCAGCCCCACAATCAGGATAAGAATGGTAAGGTTTACAACCTACTATTTCCGAAATCAACTTGTACAAAGAAAGCAACAAAAGGTAAACAGGACTGAAAAGGGCCATTCATGTATATTACTTCCGAGATTTAAGGGGTATCTAGAATTTGGTGGGGGGAGGGGAGTATCTAGAATTTTGTGACAACTTAAACAAAGAAACTTTCATACACAAATTTTGTGACAGATCAAAAGGTTCGAAAGTCATTTTTTGGCAGACGTCATAAGTGAATGATCCCTAGGGTAATTGTTAAAACCCCTACAAATTACACCCCCTCTCTCTGTCGAGGAACTGTTTTTTCAAAGACTTAATTTTAGTTTTTCATCAATTTTTAAAAAAAGGTTTGATTTTTCATTAAAAAATTTAATTTGAGGATGTTTATTCTCGCTCCTATTTGCCCTTTGCTATTAAATATACTTTTAATTTCCTTATTACTCAGAAAACTTGAATACAAATTAAAATTCAAACATTTCTTAAATATTTTATCAACCACATTTAGATCGTAAAATTCATTAGCTTTGAATACTTTATTAATAGTTCAATGTTTCTTACTATAAAAGTAGGTCGTGACTCTTCTGCCGGAGAAAAATATGCGACTAGGAATAAATTCGTGATGTTTATTTTTTGATAATTGATTTTTTATGGGTTAATCGTGAATTTATAAGACTGTAAATTGCATCCGTAAAGAACAGGCTATTGTTATTGAAAACAATGGTTTTAAAAATTAACTTAGGTAAGGGTATGATGCCCAACCTATCCGGATAAGTTAAGAGTTGCCACGGAGAGCCTAAGAAATAGAATCTGGTTTTACGTTTGATAAACCTTTAGCTTTGCAGATCTAATATAATCAAAAACTAGTGTTTACTAGACTACAACACTAGAGCAGTGTTTCTCAAATTTTTTTGATCCACGGCACATTATTTTATGTAACAATTTTCGCAGCACATCTGAATAGTCTCGCGACACTCTAAATGATTTTTATGAATATTTTGAAGTCATAAAAAATTGAATTATAATTTCGCATAGTTTAAGAATCACTGCACAAGAGGTTCAATTCTTATCCAGAAGAGCGCTAGAGCGATTCGCAGGTAAGGGAAGTCTACCGAGTAAGAATTCGCCAAAGCACTGCACTTAAACCTTGAACAACAGTTTAAAGTTGGATTAGAAACATTTCATTGATGAGTTGACTGCTTGCAGCCTTAAGTGTGAGTTTCGTTGTTAGAACATGACCCAAAAAAGGTGAATCTTCTCATGTCGAGCCTCGAACCCACGACCACTGTGTCAGTATTGCTAAGCTATGTACTCGGTGAAAAAAAAATTTTAATTGATATTTGATTAGCCAATTAGGAATGGGAAGAGCCAGGGGGAAGGCTATGGACCAAAGATCTAAACGGCTCCAGCATCATTCTAAATTTACCACGTTGTGCAATTTAAAAAGTTGTTTTAGAGCTCGAAGTCGATGAAAATCTCGAGTCAACTTCGAGCTCTGAGTTGTTCTAAGCAGTGTTGCATTCTGGCGATTTGTCTAGATCAGATAAATTCTGAGACAGAAATTTCTTCATTAAGATCGATTCTATATGAAGATAGAAAAGCTAATCTACACAAAGATTATTTCTACATAAAGAATCTGTCTACATAAAGATTCGATGTAGATGTCTACAATTCTACATTCTTCTCTGATGTAGACCTGGAAAAAATGTAGAATTGTAGACATCTACATCGAATCTTTATGTAGACAAAATCTTCATGCAGAAATAATCTTTGTGTAGATTAGATTTACTATCTTCATGTAGAATCGATCTTTATGAAGAAAGTTTCTTAGCTAGACAAAAACTATTGAAGAATCTACATTCTTCATCTAGTGTAGACATCTACATTTGCAACACTGGTTCTAAGTTAAAATTTTGAGCATCTAACCGAGTTTTAAGAAGGCTATCTACAATGACCTCTACTAAGTCCTTCAAAACTCTTCAGTAAATATTTCCATCTATACCAAGCCAACTCATACTTGAGCACCTAACATTCCTAATAAATTTAAATGTAGATGTGATGAAATAAAATGGGAAGTAAAGCTAAACGAACTTTTTTACTGTCTATCCACATTTCATTTTCGTGGAAAAAAAAACTCTTGTACATTCTCGAGAATAGAAGAGAAATTTTACATGCATTTTGATTTGCTTTTGTGTTATTTTCAAATTTTCTACTTTTTTCCTCTGTTCCTACATACTCTGATGTTCGCTACCATGGAGCTCCCGAGGAAACCATAGGAAACAATTTTTTTATTCTTCAATTCTTTATTACCATATTTCCTTTTTATTCATTTGTGAAAAATTCTTTTTTTGTATTCAGCTTTTATAAATTTTCATGAAATTCACATCAATTTGATGATGTTTAATCAGTCAAAGGTTTCTATTGGTTACACATTTAAGGCTTTATTGCCATAAAACCCAATAAACGCAAATATTTGCCTTTGTAGTTTGTTGTTAATGAATTGAAGAATCTTTCAATAAAGGAAATTAAATTTTGAGGCAATGGCAGTGTATAAATATACTGAATCATCTCTTTGTTGAGGTTATTAGTCAATAATTTTTTTTTGTTAATTTAGCTTTCAGTGTGGTTGAATTGTTAAGCAGAGAAGGAGGTTTTGAGGTGCGACAATATACATCATTATGTATTTATCATCCATCAATTCCGAAAAATTTTCAACTAATAAAGCTCATTAGTGAAAATAATTTCATGTCCTAATTACGTCGCTATCAGTTTTGGCAAAATTCTCTAAAATGAAAATTCAAATTTAACCAGAAATAGAATTAAAATTTTTTGTTCATTTGTATTTGTGTATGTGCGGTAGTATCGAGTCTAAATGAGACTAATGACAACCTCAATTATACAATACAAAAGCTGACATTCACTTGACGGTGTAAAATACGTTTCGAAATGTTATTATGTTGTGAAAATTGAATGAATATAATGGATATTGTTGAATTATTCAGGATGTGAGGTTTTGACTAGTTAGTAAAGTGCAAAAAATGTAATTTGATTTTTTTTGTTTAAACTTTTTGATTGGATTTTTGCGACTGTTTTAAATAATAACTATATTTTAAAAATTTTAATGTCTAGAAGTTATATAGGCACAGAGTATTAGCATAGTAACGCCTAATGTTTTTCCATATCCTCGATTTCGGATTATCCACTTCAGTTTTTCGGTAATATCTCCATTTGGTACTAAAATTAACCAAAATTAACATATACTTAGAATTTTTATATCTTCATTAGTTTGAGAATTATAGCAAAAATCGTAGTTAATCTACTAGATTTGGCTAGAAAATTGAATAATTAATACTTCTTAAGGAAAAGCAAAAGTTTAAAGTATACAGATCATTTCTGGTTTTAGTTCACTCTATTATAATCCAAAACTAGAAATACCACACCTTCTATGAAGTTTAAGATTTTTGCAAAAAACTGAAGTGGATAATCGAGGATTACTTTGCCATGAAATCGGCTGTTCATGAGGAACAGAGGCTGGTTTCTAGGGCTATCCTGGGCACCCACCCTAGTTTTAAATTAATTTTATTTATATCCCATATTATAGTATATCAAATATCGTTTTAGATTTAGGTCCCTGATCTACAGCTATACAAAATTTAACTGTCATATAAACAGGAAGTAATGTGATATTGTATCTACGGGGGCTATCAGCTGTTGTTGCGTCATTAAGTATTCAAAATAAATTATTTAAAAAATTCAGAATATTTTTATAAGCCGCATCCACCGACGGAATTAGAACAGTGTTTTTTTAAAAAATAATTCAAATCTTTCGTTCAACCTTCGGACCCACACTAGCAGCTGTTTTTGACGCACTTTCGTAGAATATTAGTGCTCTACATAGCAAAGCTTGAGAACCACTGAATTAGGAGTATAAATCATCTGAAAATGAAAAAAAAATCTACAGTTTGATTAGTGTTGGATATAACTGGTGTGCTGAATATCACATAGTGCATTGATGGCCAACCCATGTGCCGCGAAAAAATCAAGAAATCTTCAAGGGTTCGGAACTGATAAATTACATTTTGATCATTTTTGATAATTTCATCAGTACCGCACCCTTGAAAATCCCACGAACCGTATGCCATAGCTTATCATCAAAGTGTGCCGTGACACAAAAAAGGTTGACCATCACTGATATAGAGCCATCATCTTATCAGTTTGGTGCTAGTTTCACATTAAATCCTGATACACTTAATGATCTTTCACGATATTTCTTTCTTGATGCTATTTGATATTCGCAATGCGTGGAAACTCAGGATTAATCCTGAAAAATCCCAAATATCCTAAAAAATCCCTTAGCCAATAAATATGACAATGTAAAATCCCTTTTAAATCCCGAAATTATTCATCAAATGCATTAGGGATTTAAAAGGGATTCTACATTTTCATGTTTATTGGCTGAGAAATTTTTTAGGATTTTTGGGATTTTTCAGGATTAATCATGAGTTTCCACGTTTTGGATATTCAGAAGCCTAATCATACAAATTATCAATACAACATGCTGCAACCAGAAGGAGTGAACTCAACGATTTCATAATTCCAGTCATAAATTCAAAATTATTCATAAAATCTCAAATACATCAATTTTTCAATACATCCAAGTCAAAACGTATATCACTGCAATAACTCATTTTTCATCATAACACCAAAAATCCATGCTAACAAGTAACAACTCAACTCCAATCTCTATTCTCCCACCCGAGTGTCAAAAAAATTTATTTTTTAATTAATTCAACTTTGTAATTAAAATTCATTGTAAATTGAAAGTCTATTAAACGAGTTAGTACTGGCTTATAGCATATAAAACTTTTTTTGTTTTGCTGCCAGCAACAACGTTGATTTAAAATTGAATTTTAAGTTTGTGACATGTAATTTTTGATGTGAAATGCGTTAAATTAATATGTGTCAACCAAATACTTCTCTCCAATGCGGTTTTGTGTGCAAAAAAAAGCGCCAGTTACATGCATCAATGGATGGATATGTGTATATATGAAAATTGTTATCGCATCGTTCACACTCTCTCTCCTCATTGCTATTGATTAAATTCATTTTGCTCTCTCCAGTGGTGCGGTGCATGCATGTATTATTATTATTATGTTGATGCACCAACCCCGTCATCTCCACCCACTATCGTATTTTCACGTCACCACATCAATATTATATTTGCTCGTATACAAAATATAAAATTGAAATCGCTGTTTACAGTATAACAGATTACCATGCCATGGTTTTTCCCACTTTTCAATGGTAATTTTGACACAAGCACATTCGCCCACGCATGAATTTTACAACGATAAACATGAGTTCTTTTTATGCTTTTTTGGCTCATCATTTTTTTTGTTGTAAACGCGCGAAAATGAGGGAGTGAGAGCGAGCGAGTGTAAATGAGGAAATTTTATTTTATTATGAACAAAAAAAAAATTCAATATTCAAAGTAATTAAAAATATTTTTAATTAAGCTTTTTTTTTTATTTTTTCATCCAACAGAGAAGCAGCAGTAACTGTGAAAAGAAGAAATTTTCTTTCCATTGCGCGCTATCGAAACAATTATTAATGGAAAAACGATCAAAGAATATTAATCTCCTTTCACTCTGTTCGAGTTGCTTTTTTTTCTTCGCTTTAAAAGTTTTGTTTTTTTGATGATTTTCTTAATCTTTGGTGGAAAGTTTTTGATGTTCAATCGGGTATTTTTGTGGAATTTTTATATGCTTAGCTCGTTAAAATTGATTGCTTACTTACTTCGCTGGTCGTACATATCAATTGTGATCCATGACCTCCCTTAATTGTCCCTTAAAACTAGCTTTATCGCTGGATATCGTCTGGCAATTGCCGATTCCAAATGCAACACTGTCTCTATCAACAGTTACTTTCCATGAGTTCTGTTGGCCTTCCACGAGTTGAAATTGATAACTGGGTTAAATTCTGAATCATTATTGATATCTCAAACTGATTTCTGGAGTCTTAACGAGTGGTTATAGTTTTCGAAGTTATCAAAACAAATCTAGTCTACTTGCCCAATCAAAATTGAGCTATAAAAGATAATTTTGACGTTAAATGTGTCGCTAAACCTTTCGAATGACGTCTAGTGAACCGAATGATGGTTAATCCATCTGAAATGTAGCAGCAAGTAGGTGAAACTCTTGCGTGGTGCTGGATTTAAATCGAAGCTAGCACCATGCCAGTGACGTGTGCCAATCGGAAGTGTTTCTCGAATTATATCAACTCGGGCATGGTGCTGATTAAAAATCGAAGCTAGCACTATGCCAGAGTCATACCTGCTTGGCGCCAGATTTCTATTCTATTAATCAACTTGTGCTACTCGGAACTGTTTCAAAGTTTGGATTCCAAATCCAACATCGAGATTGAAATTTTATGTCTAAGCTGTAAAACTGCTTACTTTTGAGCGGGACAGTCCTGCTTTTTTTGAACAGATACCCGCCTAAAATCCTCAAAATTTGGTCTGTTCCGCTTTTTCAGAGCTGAAATCAGGACATGCCCCCTCTTTTGACCAAAAATCAGTAAAAACCAATGAACAGCTTATCCCGATTGGCACACATTGAAATGTTTGGTACCCAGCGTCTGGGTTGATAGTGTAATTAGAACCAATTGGAACCCATATCCAACTTGACGCCTAGTGAATGTATTTCAATGAGTGCCGATCGGGTATGTTTGTCTCGAAAATCCAGAAATCCACAATATTTCACAACAATATTTCCAAAAATCAAGGCATAAGAATGATAAAAAGTAATTCGGAATTTTCAATCACATCCGGTTGAGAATCAAATTAAATATTGTGTTCATACACAAACTTTATTCGAATAGAAACTCATGTGGTTTTCCCAGTTTACATACATACGAAAAAGTGTTGAATGTTCGATCATCCTGATGTTATAATTAGAATTCTTTTACAAACCCTCAAAAATCTTTGTTATTAACATACTCGTAAAGCTTTTGGGGGTTTTTATGCACAAAAAAAATAAAATTTCTGTTCCTTTGATGCTGCATTATTGGCAATTCATTTGTAAAGTTCAAATGACTTTCATATTTACATTTTGGTTATGGACTAGGAATTTATTGGATGTCATTAGCAAATAATGCTCTAATTTTGAATATGTTGCTTGAAACCAAATTACTTTTGAGTTGCAACAAAATGTCATGTTGCTTTGAAATGTAATCGAAGATTTAGTTTGCTTTTGAAGTAGGATTGTTATTTATTTTTTGATTGTTTGAAAAGTATCTAATTTGAGAACTTTGATCTTTTCTATATGCTAGCTTTATGCAATTTTAGTGCATTTGACTTTGACAGAAATGGAGAGGGGGGGGGGGGGGGGTACTATAGACAGCCGATTACTTAAATTCAAATTGTTAATAAACCTCCAAATAATTTAAAACCTTAAACACTAGTAAGCAAAGCTCATCCTTCAGATTATGCAACCACAATTCTGCAATTCACAATATTTCCATTTCAAACTTCAACATGAAATCATTCCACCCGCTATATTCCATCACAAAATTATTCATTATCCTCCCATTACATCTTTGTTTAACTCATACTACGCTTCGAGTAAAAGACTGAATGTGATTTACAATCAGATTTGTCTCTCACTCTTCTTTATCACAAAAAAGAACCGCACTCAGTCTGTAATTTAAAATTACTTTTTAATTCATTTTAATGGAAGTTAAATTTTAATTTCCGACAAAGTCTCTTCGCTATTTTGTTTTTAAATCGATAATCCCGTCGATAATGTTACATTGACTGGAATATAGCTAGTCTATTATTGTAAATCACAACATTTTCTCCCTTCTTTTTACAATTGTACATTTACACTCATGTATGCACATCGATTGAGATAGTTACATTAATTTATTTTATTCGTATGTAAATATCTATATATCTAGATATCGATGAAATGAGTTGCCCTAAAAGAATGCTTTTTCATTGATTCTGACTTTTTATAATGAAATGAAGGAGAGAAATCAACATTTATCTCATGGGGTAAATATTGGAAATTTTCCATAATTTGATTTTGCGGTATAATGTGGAACAGAAAATAAAAAAGTTTTTAATATTAAAACTATAGTGAACAAGGGATGGAAACAAGTTGCTTTTTTGAAAATTAAATGTATAAGCTCGTCTGAGAATTTGCGAAAGATTTCAGGATAAATTGAGAATCTGCAGCATCGCAGGACATGGTTATCAACTCATATTGATTTATAAAGTTTGTAATTCATAATAATATGGCAGTCAATAGATTAAAGGCTTTGTTGGAAGATGGTTTGAAATCCCAATAATTAAGTTTTATTGAACCTGAAGTCTTAATTTAATTTTAAGTCATCTATGTCATTTATTACTTACTTCGAAGAATCTACAGATCAATAATTGTAATCCATGGTCTCCCTTTTCGAGCGACAAAAAGTTCATGTTGATAGAGTGGCGACACCTTATTGAATACATGTGAATTACTTACTTCCTTGACTAGGGCGCACGTGGGCCCATTGCTGCGCTTAGAGATCATCTGAAGCTGTCTTCTCTAACCTTAGAAACCTGGTTATGGCTTAGAGCCAGTTCGGGATATTAAGGACTCTAGCGTCCTTTTCAACACATCCAATCCACGAGATCTTTGGTCTTCCTCGTGTTTCGAATTTATGAGAATTTATATGAGTGGCCTAATAAACCGTATGTCTCGTGGCAACGCCAAGCTACACTAAGGCTGCCTTGTGAGCCTTGCGAACGGAGAAATTCAACAAGGTGTCACATTCAAGTTGCTCCCAATTCAATATAAAGAAAAGTTGTCGCTCAGGCTTAGATGGTGCCTAAACCTGGCTCTATTGCTGGATACCGCTTGCCAATTTCCAATATTAAATGCAATACTGTCTCTATCTCTTTTTCACTTCTTACCAACCCTGATGCTACCATCCCCTGCTTATCAACATTGTTATTGTTATTGCCATTATTAATATCAAAAAACCCATAAAAGAGAAATCTTTTTTCGACATATTTCGCAGAGTTTAACACAACAAAAGCGGAAAAAAACTCTTTTTTAATTTATAAAACTTCACTCATTTTAATCCTGAAAGATGCCAAAAAATTGATGTAAGTTATAATGAGATATAAAGATTCGATAAAGCTTAAAAAAGAAGCAATTAATATTTTTGATGTTCTCTGATGTTGCTGTAGAAAACTTTAATTATATGCCTGTCATTTGTTTGAGATAGGTGGGGAACTTGAGCTTTTTTTAAATTATTAAATGAGAAGCTTTTGAGTCACATGCATTTATGGTAAGTTGTTATTGATTTACAGTTTATATATTTGGGTATTATCTTTAGAATAGAATGTAATGAAGAGTTTTTCTTAGACCAAATACGGCACTGCGATCGTTATCCGTGTTATGTTAAATAATTTTTAATTTTTAAGGAGGTTTCAGCTGAGAATATGTCAAATATTTGAGAATCATGACCTAGTGCAGGGTTGCAGTGGCCAGAAAAGACCAGGCATGTCTATAACATTAATTATAGTTAAAACTGCTTATAAGAGTTTTTGTGGAGGCATTTAAAGCTACAGACTTGCACATGAGAGGACAGATGCTGATTGCAGCATAATAAGTTCATCATTCTCTTGGATTCCATGTCTAAAACATTGCAACATGTAGAATCCTCTAACACTCGCAATACAAAATCAAAAAATCTACTGGGGTGCATCCACACTTTTTAACCTACACAATATTGATGCTTTAATAGATGGAAATATGTTATTGGTTACACAAATGAATTAAGATAAAAAAGAGCTAAGAAAATTGAGTCTCGAACTTAATTAAATTTGTGAAATAGAATGTAAATAATGTGTGGAACATCAAAGTCATGAATTGGAAAATGAAAAATTTTTCTTCTTCTTCATCTTGTTTGTAAGTTTCTTCAACCTCATTTCCATCTCTCTGTTCCCAACTTCCTTCGTCTTTTACTTTATTTTTACCTCTTGAAAAGAAATTTTCTTCTCACTTTTGAAGTGAAAGAAAATTTAAATTAGAAAATTTATCGGAATGAGGAAATAGAAAAAGTTTTTTTTTCTTTTTGAGGTTAAGTGTGATTAATTAGATGTTATTAGATTTTTTTTTTGAGAATATTGTTTGTTCTTAACATTCTCATTAATTTTGTGTGTGTGTGTGGTGAGTTTTTGAGAGTTTTGTTTTCAAACAATTTGTTAATTTTTGATGGATGATGAAGTGCTGAGGTGGTAAGCTAGGTCTATATGATGATTTTGTTGAAGTGTTTACGAGAAAAATTCCTAAGAAAATTGTTTTAAATTTGTTGATTGTGATGTCTTTATTATTTTGAGGGTTTTAAGATTATTTTGAGTTTTTTTGGATTTTTTTGAATTTTTCAAAATTTTTTGAATTTTAAACAAAAAAATCTTCAAAAAATTCAAAAATCTTTAAAAAATTCAAAAAATCTTCAAAAAATTTCAAAAAATCTTTAAAATTTTTTTGAATATTTTGAACATTTTTTGAAGATTTTTTTGAAGATTTTTTGAATTTTTTTGAAGATTTTTCGAATTTTGTTGGTTAATTTTATTTCAAAAAAACCAATTTTTAAATTTTTGACAGCATTTGAATGTTTTCAGCCTATCAAGGTATGTGAGTACTTGAACTCAACCTTCGTTTTCGATTCCGTATCTCTCAAACCAAAACATCCTGAATTTAAACAACTTAATGACAATCTAATATCAAATCAAGTGCCAATTTTTATTTATTCATCTCAATAACACTACAATTCATCCACATCAGTCAATTTATTTCCAATATTCAATCCACACTTTACCTCAAGAAAGAAACAATATCCATAAAATTTCCATTACCTTCTCTTTTGACTCGATTTTATACTGAATAGAAGATTTTAATTGAAAAATTATTTACAGAAAATTGCCAAACAACATG